AACGACATTACGTTTCGACATCTTGGTGCGTTTTCCCATACTATTACGAAAATGTAGTTGTTCAATTTAAGCACCGTTCCATGTAAGTTCTGTAAGTTTTTTTTCAAATCGCCTATGCGTATACCTATAGCATGGGTTTTTTTCCGGCTCACTTTCATGTTGATCTCGCGTCTAACATTATGTAAACACGTGATTGATAATAACCTCGTGAATTATTTCAATATTTATTAAATGAAGCATCGTAAAAATAGTCTGCTTTAACTATTTTTTTCCTTGGAGTAGATTTGAAGAGGATGTATTGATTGTCCACGCTTCTAGTATAAACATATTTTTTATAATCCCTTATCAGTCAAATCAGTCTGTAGTTATGATATTGGTGAAATCATGCCCTATTCACGACACGTGCTGGTGAGTGAAAAAAATAACAACACGGTCCGTCGATCGCGACTGCAAATCATTTTAATTAGTAGAGCTATTGTTAACAGGTAATCACAGATATAGTGTTAGCTTATTACTGCATTGTAATTTGTATGGACTGTAGTGTTGAGAAGTGTCAATAATTTATGCTGAAGCATGCGATCCTACCTGGCCTATTGTCCGGGACCAGACGATATTGGTGAAATCATGCCCTCCGGTTTACTTACCTGTAAATGTCGCAAAACCAGCAGTCATGACCACAGATGACCAATTTTAATAATTTTACAGTAGGTAAAAATTGTGTGGCCAAAAAATATTGCCAAACCACGCCCTTAGATAATCTAATTCCGTGGCCAAACTGAACTGTGACATGACCTGGTTTGAAGCGGCGTAACCCAAGCCGCCATGATGAGCCCTTCTGACTGATCGTAATTATGATCAATAAAAGGGATCTAATTATGTCTTTCACCAGGAGATATGCACCAGCGGTTACTAAACATCAAATTACTTATTAATTGATATGTTTTTGTAAGCAAGGAAATGTTTTATGTAAAATATTGCTAAAATGAATTTATGTATGCCGATATGCACACACGTGTGTGTCATGTGTGATCAGATAATTCAAAGAAAACAAACAACAAAATACACATTTTACGTAGTTTCTACATGGTTTTTAATATCATTTTACATCAATGAAAAATAAATCATAAGAAATATATTTTTTTAAAAAATATTCAGAGATCGATTTTCGGAGCATGAACATCGGTTTTTTTTCCAGATTTTTTGGGTGCGCAAAAAAATTTGAGTAGAAGCTTTTTTCCCGATTTTCAGCCTCAAAAAGTACCTGCGCAAATTACACAGGTGCGCAAATCACATGGGTTTTTACGGTAGGTCTTTTAAACACAACCTCCTCCCCAGCCCCAGAGGGGGGTAGGAGCTGAGCATTCAGCGAGCCCCCAACCTGCTGAAGTGAGACTGGTCCCCAACCCTGATTAAATCCCGGAGGATAACCTGAGTTGTACCCAAATCCCTGAGGAAATGGGGCCCTAGGACCATAAGGAAAAGAGTGACCACAGTACTGACCAAACTGACCAGTGGGTACATGGGAAGGAACACCCTGACCAAAAGGAAAAGGTAAACAGGCACTCCCTCCCAGAGCGAAACCAGAAATGAAAGGCCTAGGGCCAGACATATGACAGGTTTGCTGCTGGAAAGCACCAAAACCATGATGCACAGTACCCGAAGCATGAGGCCCAAAGGACTCATACCCGAGACCATGGGGTTGTGCCCGACTCTTGTCAGACTTGTCACCTTCTCGATTATTTATGAGCACGGCCCAAGGGTTCCGTATGGTGCAAGCTAGCAAGGAATCGACCCTGACAGGGTTGATACCGGATACCTAACCAGGAAAGAGAAGGGACCGTGAAGAGTCAGTCATGAGAGGTGGCAGTGCTGCTACACTCTGTGGGGCCCAGATAATTCGAAGAATTACCACTCCCCATCACAGCAGAGGACCCAAAAGGATTCTCATTCATGACTCTATCCCCACCAACAGACGCTCCAGGACTGACTAAATAGTCAGAGACTGGAGGAGGGCCCACCCTTTCCAGAGATGAACTAACACCAATGGAAGGGGGACCAACCTCCCTGGCAACAGGATAGCCAACACCTGTGCTCTCTAGGCTAGAGCCAACCAAGGGCTGGATAGTCTTGGGACCCTGCAGGGCCTCTACCAACGAGGTACCTGCCGAAGGACTCTCTGTGGGGTCGTCGGCACTACCTGAGGAGGACCTAGCCTTGTCCTTCCTCTTACCCCGTTTGTCAAACTTGGAGGAGTCCTTCATGGTTCACAAACAACAAGATAAACAAACAATTCAGCCTTTATTTGTAAAATAAAATAATCTTAATTCACAAAAATCGACGTAAACGAAAAAGAAAGTGAAAGTAAACACTCACGAAAACGAACGGGGACCAAAACACGTGGCAATGGTACCGACGTTTTACAACGAAATACGGTGAATAAAGGCAAAAAATATATATAAACAATAGCAGGGCCTTTATTTGTAAAATAAAATAATTTTAATTCACAACAAGAGGCCCAGAGGGCATGAATCGCTCACCAGAATATGTTTAAAATAATTGGTATGAAGAAGGTGCTGTAAGTACATATGAAATTTCAGAAAGATCCATACAGTACTGGAGATATAGTGAGAACAAACTTCAAACAGAGCCCCACCCCTAGGGGGGTCATACCCACCAATTATACAAAATTGAGTCCTCTTGACCCAAGGATGCTCCAGACTCAATAAGGATAAAATCCCATAATCCCAATGGTCACAGAAGGATTTTAAAGGTTTTACCTCTATTTCTCCTATTGGGCCCTGCCCTTCTGCCCCTTGTGAGACCACACCCACTGCTTATACAAAATTGAGTCCCCTTGGCCCATTGATGCTCCAGACTAAATTAGGATAAAATCCCTTAATCTGTATGGTAGAAGAAGGATTTTAAAGGTTTTACCTCTATTTCCCCTATTGGGCCCCGCCTCTCTGCCTCCAGAGGGGTCAACCACACCGTTTATACAAAATTGAGTCCCTTTTGCCTAAGGATGCTCAAGACTAAATTAGGATAATATCCCTTAATCCCTAAGGTAGAAGAAGGATTATAAAGGTTTTACCTATATTTCCCCTATTGGGCCCCGCCCTTCAAGTCCCAGGGGGGCAACACCAACCGTTTATACAAAATTGGTTCTCCTTTACCCAAGGATGCTCCTCACCAAATATGGACCAAATCCTTTCATTCCTACAGACGAAGAATTTTAAAGAATAATTTGCTATGTTTCCCCTATTGGGCCCTCCCCTCAGCCCCCAGGAGGGCCACACCCACGGTTTATACAAAATTGGTTCCCCTTTACCCAAGGATGCTCCACACTAAATATGGACCAACTCATTTTATTCCTACAGAAGTAGAAGGATTTTAAAGAATAATTTGCTATGTTTCCCCTATTTGGCCCAGCCCCTCAGGCCCCTGGGGGGCCATACCAATGGGTTATACAAGATTGGTTTACCTTCTCCCAAGGATGCTTTAGACCAAATATGGAACAAATCCTTTCATTCCTACAGAATAAGAAGGATTTTAAAGAATAATTTTCTATGTTTCCCCTATTGGGCCCCGCCCCTCAGGCCCCTGGGGGGCCATACCAATGGTTTATACAAGATTGGTTTCCCTTCCCCCAAGGATGCTTCTGACCAAATATGGAACAAATCCTTTCATTCCTACAGCAGTATTTTAAAGAATTGCTATATTTCCCCTATTGGGCCCCGTCCCTCAGCCCCCAGGGGGGCCAGACCCACCAGTTATATAAAATTTGTTCCCTTTCCCCCAAGGATGCTTCTGACCAAATATGGAACAAATCCTTTCATTCCTACAGAAGAAGAAGGATTTTAAAGAATAATTTGCTATATTTCCCCTATTGGGCCCCGCCCCTCAGCCCCCAGGGGCATAACACCCACTGTTTATACCAAATTGGTTCCCCTTTACCATAAAATGCTTCAGACCAAATATGGACCAAATCCTTTCATTCCTACAGAATCAGAAGGATTTTAAAGAATTTGCTATGTTTCTAATATTGGGCCCTGTCCCTCAGGCCCCTGGGGGCCAGACCCACAGTTTGTACAAAATATAGTCCAAATCTACTAAGCCGTTCAGGACAAGTACCGTTTTAAAGGAAAAGTTGACAGACGGACAGATGTCAGACGGACGATGGACGAAGGACACTGCGCCATGGCATAAGCTCACTTGCCCTTCAGGCAGGTGAGCTAAAAATGTAGAAGAAAATCTCTGGACAAAAAAATAAATACTGAAATGAACAAAGGGCAATAACTTTTACAAAAATCGTTGAATCAAAATTCTTTTCAGGGAGACACAACTTCATATCATGATTATAATGTATATCAAGTTTCAAAGAGATCGGTCGAAAAATGTAGGAGGAGATTGCCGGACAAACAAAAGTTTACACCGGACCGACGGACGGACAGACGGACGATAAACCCCATATCATAATACTGACAGGTGTATAAAAAGGGTCAGAATGAAAAAAATAATCCCTGAAAGCACAACTTCAGGTTGTAGTTATCATATCTGGAAACTTTCATTGAAATTGGTCCATTACTTTAGAAGGAGTTTTCAGGACAAACGTTTTCTACAGACAGACCGACACCCCCCACACACACACACTAATTTTGTTGCGGGGGTATAATGAGACCTAACCCACTTAGTCATTTTTGACTAGTTGCATTTTAAAGGCCTGCATACAGGTTTTGAGCCAGGTGAACAAACACATTTTTTTATATATATTTTTATACAATTTAGTATCACCTTTTCCTTCACCTATTACTTGGTATATACTGTACTTCAGGATATGGTCCCTTCACAGTGTACTATCATTTGCCATCATGATTTATCTGTCCTCATTACAGAAGGAAAACAGACTGAAAATCAAACTGTGGCAAACATTCCCAAATATACAATAGTCAATGCTTCATGTTTTTGCAAAGGAAAGGATGTCAAAAATATACATGACCTACCTGAAGAAAGGCTTTTCTTTGGTACAGATAAAAAGCGGCCAATATTTCCATTTGGGGACGCAGAATCATAGAATAGCTCTGCGGCAAACTGATGATGGCCAGGACTAGTATCAACACAGTAGGTATAGTTGATGCGTTTCTCCACATGATACCTCAGTAAAGGGTACTCTGCAGTGAACTCCACACTGCCATCATTGAATTGCCTGAAAATTGTAGATGGTAAATGTATTACAAGGTACTTAAACATACAAGAGGCCAAGGGCCAAATAGTTCTCTGCGCATATCAATGAAGTGCTTGAAATCCTGTTGTCAGGTCCCGGAAACAAGAGTTTTTGCATCAATTCTGTTCTACAATTTAATAGTGACATATTTTTTTCAAAACTAGACATGTACCTGTAAGACAGGTTCACGCAAAGCCAGTACAACATATGACATGATCATTTATATCGTTTCAATTAGGGGATAGTACGTTGTTTTGAGTGGCTATACTGGCGATTAGAACATGAAATTTGGTTTAACCTCGAGACCGCCAGTATAGACACGAAAAACAACGTACTATCCCCATTCTAACACACCTTAACAAATATACTACGCTAATATGTTTAGAAACATTGTATTTCCTTGTACAAAAGTACTTTGTGACCTTAACTGGCGACGTGTCATTCTGCAGCGGACTGACCAATCGAAAAGAAGCTTTCAAAAGTCGGTCATTTAGCCCCGCCCATACTGGCGAGAGCTTGATCTGTATGTTGACGAGGCGGAATATTTGGATTGTTCGTGAACGTCCTGTTACCAAAGTTTATACGACACATTCGGATTAATATTGAACAAGTTCTTACATTTTCATATCAGTATGCATACCAATTGGTGCTTATCGACAAAATCGGTGATTATTTGTATAGATTTTAGAAGAGTTTTGTGTGAATGCATACGACACGTGAAATGTTTGATTTGATTTCGGATCTAAATAGACGCCTTTACATGGATGGAACAAACGTTTCAGTAATAAATGGAGGTAAGAACAAGGAATGCGTTCTTTTTACTTTTTGATTCATTCAACAAATGCATTTCATCGGTCGTTTCTGTTCTGTTGCCTATTAGCCTTATCAGCAGGATTTCGCTATGAGGCGAGCTTGACGCCATATTGTTTTGGTTAGAAACGGGGCATGGCTTAAGTACGATGGGATTAGCTTATTGAACACGATTGACCATGATTCTATCGCAGATTAGAACATGGTCCGTATCCAATCAAAACATGCGTTGCAAACGAATCGTGTTAGAATAGTAATTGTTAAACAATACAGTTTCTTTCTACCATTACTTTTTTTCTTTTTCTTGTTTCAAGTAATTGCTAATTAGTTAAATAACTGTTCCAATGGGCGCCATTTTTCAGTTACTTCGTGAATTTGTTTTGATCTGTATAATTTGTAAGCTAAATAATCAATTTTTCGATGGTGTTTTAAAAATATTATGACACCTTCTATTGACGGTATACTAGACTTTTACATTTACAGATGTATATGTCACGTCTAATTATCAAAAAGCAGAAATTTAGCAATATGTTATTGTTTTCGCCGGAGTAACCTAAGATGGCATCCTTTGTACTTATTTCAATTTCTATATTATATTTTACATATAGTAAGTCTGAAAAAGTTCTCCAAATAGTGCACACATGAACACATTGCCATAAAAGATGATACATATCTTCATCTTCATAGTTACAGAAAGTACATTTTTTTTCATCTTTTATACCAAATTTAAACAGAAGCATATTTGTGCATAGTATTCTGTGATACATTTCATACTGAAAATTGTGTAAAATAACATCATGAGTGCAACTCTTTGGTATCGAGTAAATAAATTTCCAGTTAATATCTAAATTTGTAATGTCTTGAGACCATTTTTCCATTGCTTTTTTGTTTGTAGTTAAAATTGTAGAAACTAATTTTGAATAAAATATATTGGTTGGTTTCGTCAACGTTCTTATAAGCGTTATATTTTCTTTATCTCTAGTATTATTACTGCCCCGATTACGAATTGACCTTTTCCACAACCCTGGGATGGCTGTAATAACACCATAAAAACGGATTCTGTTCATATCCGGAAAATTAAAGTTTTCTTGAAATTTTCGAAAGGTCATAATGTTGCCATCGTTTTCAAATAAATCTGCTACCTTATTTATACCCCGTTCTTGCCATCTTATTATCTATTTTTATATTGTGATTAGACCAAATTGGCTCCGACAAGTAATATTCTGCATTTTCATGTTCTAAATTTAATGTACTCCGAGCTAAAAACACATCTCTCCAGAAGCTGTTGGAAGTTTTCAGTAATTTTTGTCATATCTTTTTTAACATAAAAGAGAATGTTGAAGTTTCCATATTTTTCTAATTGATCTAACAGAAGTAGTTTCAAGGGAGATGTATTTTGAGGATCGAGTAATTTCTTTATCCAAGTAAATTTTAAAGCTTTAATAAAACTTTCTATGTCTATCATTTTCATTCCACCGTTTTTCGTAATTATTTTTTAACGTAGTTCTCTTAATTTTGTCTTTTTTATCATTCCATATAAAATTAAAACAGATATGTTTTATTTGTTGAACAATATGGTACGGTGGATTTGGTAAAACTGTAAATAATTGCACGAGAATAGGGATAGCAAGTGACTTAACAACGGTTATTTTTCCAGCTATGGTAAGATTTCTAAGCGACCAGTTTTTTAGAATACGAGTAACTTCCACTATTTTATCATCATAATTAACAAAAGTTATATCAGTTTTACTGAGGTCGTACTTGATACCAAGGACTTTAAAATTTTCTAGTAAAATTTCATTTTAATCCTCTTTCAGCACATAAGTTTTCGTGGTGACCCTTTTTTTTACCTAGCCATATTGCCTCCGTTTTATCGTAGTTTGCTCTAAGACCAGAACATTTGCCAAATGAATCTAAAATATCTGAAGTTGTTTTCAATGAAGTATCATCATCTTCAAGACTATCCAAGTAGAATCGTCCGCATACTGACTCGTAAGAATTTCTGTTTCACCTATTTTAATACCAATAATATCTGGAGAAAATTTTAATGTAGCACTTAGTATTTCTACTACCATGATAAACAAATATGGCGACAGAGGGGAACAAACTTGGTAGCCCTTCATCCCAGCATGCTACAGGCTCAATTTCAGTACCCTGGGCCTTTTGGTTAATGAGAAGAAGTCGTTTGAAGATTTTAACATATTTAACCCCCGTGACCTTGAAAGTGGGTCAAGGTCATTCATTTGAACAACTAGGTAATTCTTCATCTCCACATGCTACAGGCCTAATTTCAGTATTCTGGGCCTTTTGGTTATTGAGAAGAAGTTGTTTGAAGGTTTTAAGACATTTGACCAATGTGACCTTGAAAGTGGATCAAGATCATTCATTTTAACAAACTTGATCGCCCTTCATCCCAGCATGCTACAGGCCAAATATCAGTACCCTGGGGCTTTTGGTTATCGAGAAGAAGTTGTTTGAAGATTTTAAGACATTTGACCCCTGTGACCTTAAAAGTGGGTCAAGGTCATTCATTTGAACAAATTTGGTAGCCCTTCATCCCAGCATGCTACTGGCCAAATATCATTACCCTAGGCCTTTTGGTCATTGAGAAGAAGTTGTTTAAAGTAAAATATTGACGCCAGAGGGATGGACGACGGACGCCGCACCACAGCTCACTCGGCCTTTCGGGCCAGGTGAGCTAATAAAAAAACACTTTAATAATTTAGATCTTTCAATATAAACTTCTTTAAGCAAGTTCTTGTTAAAGTTTTTGGTACAGTTTGCATTTGGGTACAAACAAATCAACAGGGCGTATGCCAAGACAATATTTGCATTAGGGCTGTATGTAATATGGATGAAATATTTTATTAGTTACAGAAAAGACATGTCAAACGATTCAAATACAGGAACTACATCTTCAACTGATACTGTTCATATCATACATCACCCTCCTTTCCCACCTCAACCCCCATTCCGAGACGGTAAATATCACTGTCAATTTTTGGAATTAATTACTTCATCCCGACCACGCTTATCTGCTCACACTCTCAGTTTACTGGTTTAAACTTCGCCTTGGTCAAATTAAAACACACACGCGCACACACACACACATATATATACTAGACTGCCGACCAGCACTACACAGGACACAAAAGCATTGCTATCTTCACCTCGCTGCTTAGACTTATGAGACTTAGTATTTTTATTAGCCCGTCGAATGACGGTACGTATTATGTTTTCACGCGGGTGGGCAGAGCGGGGGGCACACATTAGTTTCCACTCAATAACTTGAGTAATTTTGAATGGATTCATTTCAAATTTAATAGGAAGGTTTATTGCCATAAAAGCTCGGACAAGTTCAATAACCAAAGTTATTCGCCAGTTATTTACGGAGTAATGGCCCTTTGTAGAATTGCCGAAACAGTTTCCGCTCAATAGCTTCAGTAATTTTGATTAGATCAATTTCAAACTTCATAGGAAGGTTCATTTCTATGAAAGCTTGCACAAGTTCGATAACCATTATCCGCCTGTTATTAAGGGGCCCTTTATAGAGTTGACGTAACGGTTTCTGCTCAATAGCTTCAGTAATTTTGAATAGAGTCAATTCAAACTTCATAGGAAGGTTTATTTCTATGCTTGCGATAACCAAAACTATTTGCCAGTTATTTACGGAGTTATGGCATTTGTAGAATTGCCGACACAGTTTCCCCTCAATAACTTGAGTAATTTTGAACGGATTAATTTCAAACTTGGTAGGTAGGTTCATTGCCATGAAAGCTCGGACAAGCTCGATAACCAAAATTATTTGCTGCTTATTTATGCAGTTATGGCCCTTTGTAGATTTGACGCTTATCTCTCCAAAATTTATGCACTTATGGCCCTTTGTGGCAAACTGCTCATTCTACATCTGACGGGCGTATCATGTACCGTTTCGCGGAACTCTTGCTTTTATTATTATTTTGGTATTTTAAATACACATCATTTTTTTTAAATTCACACCTTCATGTTACTACATAGTTACTTACAGCTGATCATTTATACTACCACTGTTCTACAAGAGGCCCAGAGGGCCTGTATTGCTCACCTGGATATCTAAGCAATCATGGCAAAATATTTTCCAAATGAGATCCAAGGGAATATGCCAGACTCCAAGGCCAAACCTTTTAGCATAT